AAAAAAAAAAAAAAAAAAGAGTAGCAGGGGCTGCAGCTGCCATTGTTATTGTTGAGGGAGGTGATAACAACAGGCCTGTTATTGGTAGAGTCACACCGAGCTGGAGGCCAGCGGAACCCGGGCAGGAGCTGTCCCCGGTGCCCCTGAGAGGAGGACACAGCCATGGGTGGAGGGGGTGACTCACGCCCCGACTGGTTACCCTGGCCCAGCCGCCCTCCCTGCCCCTGGGCTGGGTCCCCATGTTTCCCAGCTCTGGTGCCACCAGGTCCTGCGGAGTGGGAGACACCTGTCTGGCGTCCAGTCAGAGCGCCCAGCCCTGGGCTCTGGACACGCGTGAGCCGGGCTCTCTGGGTCTCGGCTGCAGCAGGTGAGGCCACTTCCCTTCATTCATTCATTCCTGACTCCAGCTGGCTGTCAGCTCCGTTCATTCATTCATTTCTGGCTCCAGCTGGCAACTCCACCTTCATTCATTCATTCATTCCAGACTCCAGCTGGCCATGGCACCTCCATTCATTCATTCATTCCTGGCTCCAGCTGGCAACTTCAGCTCCATTCATTCGTTCATTCATTCCTGGCTCCAGTAGGGGACTTCATCTCCACTCATCATTCATTCACTCTCGGCTACAGCTGGTGACTTCACCTCCATTCATTCATTCATTCATTCATTCCTGGCTCCAGCAGGCACTTTACCTCTCTTCATTCATTCACTTATTCCAGGATCCGGTAGGTGACTTCACCTCTCTTTATTCATTCATTCACCCATTCATCTGTTCAACAACCATGTCTTGAGTGCCTACTATGGGCCCAAGGACCTGAAAACAAAGTCAGGGAGTTTCCAGTCAGTACATCGGGGGGGACATTCTATGCCTCAGTTTCCCTTTCCTGTCTCCAGTTGCTGCAACGAGGCTGAGAGTGAAGCGCCACAGGCCAGGGAGTTTTGTCTGTGCAGTTGAAACCGACCCCACTCCATGTCCAGAACAGCGGTGCCTGGCACACAGTAGGTGTCCAGTAAATGCATGCGGGAAAGGATGCGTGCAGAGTGGATATGCTGCCTGGCACCTGGGCTGCGACTCTGCTTGTACTGGGGTGTTGCTCTTCTGGAATTGTCGGCTGTTTCGTCACCAGGATCCAGCAGAATGTGAGGCCAACAGGGAGGGGGCTGGATGAATATCTCAGTGTGGGGAGAAAAGGGAAGGAAAGAGGGAAGACAGGGAGGGAGGAGGGAGGGAACTTGACCTGAGTTGGCCTCCAGACTCAGGAAGGCCGTGGGGTCCCCCCTCTCACTGGCCCAGCCACCCCAGTCTGAAACTGCAACCCCCACCCACCCATCCCTCTGCAGAGGGCTCCGCAGAGCAACGTTGGGATTCCATGTGCTCACTGCTCACCTTGAGAACCGACTCTGCCTCCCCCACCGGACCAGGACATCCCTGAGGATGGGACACAACTGTTTGATCCCTGACTGTCCTTAGCACCTCGCACATGCCCGTCCCCCTCCCCGCAGCAGGTGCTCAGAGAAATGTGTTGAATCCATTGAGTCAACAAGCACGTCCAGATTGGGCGCAGTGGCTCACACCTGTCATCCCAGCACTTTGGGAGGTGGAGGCCAGAGGATTGCCTGAGCCCAGGGGTTCGAGACCAGCCTGGGCAACTTGGCAAAACCTTGTCTCTTCAATAAATCAAAAAATTAGCTGGGTGTGGGGATGGGTGCCTGTAGTTCCAGCTACTTGGAAGGCTGAAGAGGAAGGATGACCTGAGTCTGGCAAGTCGAGGCTGTGGTGGCCGTGAGTGTACCACTGCACTCCAGCCTGGGCGACGGAGTGAGACTCCGACTCAAAAAACAAAAGAAGTCCAGGCACCTCTCATTCCTTCTCCTCAAGGGCAAAGCTTAGACTTCCTCCACTCAAACTGACTTCCCCTACCCATTGGGAACCCACGTCCATATCCACTCAACACATGCCCGCTAGCGTCTGTGCTGGATTGGAGGCATGGAGTGCATGCCAGCCACAGGACAAGACTTATGTGCATGAATTAAGATGCACATAATTGCCAGGCGTGGTGGCTCACACCTGTAATCCCAGCACTCTGGGAAGCTGAGGTGGGAGGATCACTCCAGCCAAGGAGTTCAAGACCAGCCTGGGCACCCTAGTGAGACCCTATTCCTTAAAAATAAACAGCCGGGCTCGGTGGCTCAGCCTGTCATCCCAGCACTTTGGGAGTCAGAGGCGAGTGGATTGCCTGAGCCTGTGGGTTTGAGACCAGCCCGGGCAACTTAGAGAGATCTCGTCTCTACAATAAATCAAAAATGAGCCAGGCGTGGTAGCGCGTGCCTGTAGTTCCAGCTACTTGGAAGCCTGAGGCAGAAGGATCGCCAGAGCCCAGTGGGTTGATGCTGGGGTGGCCGTGAGCATGCCACTGCAGTCCATCCTGGGCCACAGAGTGAGATTTCAGCTCAATAAAAAGTAAAAAATAAGAAATAAAATAAACAAAAAAGCTAGCTGGGCATAATGGTGCAGCTGCAGTCCCAGGACTCAGGAGGCTGAGGTGGGAGGATAGCTTGAGCCCTGGAGTTTGAGGCTGCAGGGAGCTGTGACGGTGCCACTGCACTCCACCCTAGGCCACAGAGCAAGATTCTGTCTCTTAAAAAAAAAAAAAGACATATAATTAATTGTTAATTACCCAGTAATTAAGTGACTCGGCAGTGCTGTGGTTATGTAAGAGACTCTGAGACCAGACTTTTCAGGGATTTGTAATTTCCCCGTGCTTGTAATTTGCATGGTGTGTGACCTTGGGACAGAACCCAACTTCTCTGAGCCTTTATTTCTCCATCTGTAAAATGAGTAGCACAAAAGTACCAACTTCATAGGATCCTTATGAGGATTTCAGTAAATGCTAATTATTCAATAAAATGAATAAATGTCAAATAAAATCATGACTGCCACTTTCCCATCTCATGGTGATGTGTTTACTTCTAATAATAATAATAGCTGCAGTGTAATCAATTTTTTAAAATTGAGGCAAAAATCACATACTCTAAAATTTACTCTTTTTTTGTTGCTGTTGCTAAGGTTTCACTCTGTGGCCTGGGAGTGCAATGGCATGATCACGGTTCACTGCAGCCTTGACCTTCTGGGCTCAGGCAATCCTCCTACCTTGGCCTCCCAAGTAGCTGGGACTACAGGTACACACCACCACACCCAGCTCATATTTTTTTTTTTTTTTCTGTAGAAACAACCACGTTGCCCAGGCTGGTCTTCAACGCCTGGGCTCAAGTGATTCTCCCACCTTGGCCTCCCAAATTGCTGGGATGACAGGCATGAGCCACCACGTCCAGCCAGAATCTCCTTCCTCTTTGAGGCTGAATAATACTCCACATCATGGATGGGTCACGTTGAGTGATCCAGTCATTGTTAGTGGACATCTGGGTTGCTCAGTAGGCATTCACCCTCTTCATGGTCCTAGGAGTCAGCAGCTTCCCCCGTTCCTCTTTGTGGATTGGTACTCAGTAAATATTTGCTGACTAAAAGGATCAAAGCAGATTTATATACAAGGACAGGTGCGTTGGCTCATGCTTGTAATC